AGGGAAAGATATAATGTGGGCTAATAATATCTGCAAAAAATTGCTCCTGGGAGTAAATGTCTGCTGATATTGCTTATTTTTCAGAACAAATTCTTGGATTATGAGAAGAGGAAGGTAAGGATGAACCCCTGCAAATGCTTTCTCTGCAGAATAGCTCCACTTTTTTTTCTTGTTTTCCCTCCTTTTATCTGGTTTCTCAGCCAAAACGGAATGTTTTGAGAACTGAGTTCTTGCAGAAACCCCCCCAGAGCTGCTCACTCCTCCCTGCAGAAGACAAGTGGGAGCGTGGGGGAATCTGTGGCTGACTTGTCTGACCCACACAGCCGATGAGCTGCAGTCTCTCTCGTGAGCAAGCAGTTCCAGTTTAAATCAGTCCCTGTTTGCAGAGCTGGATCTGGGGGATTTCACAGCAGGTGGCTTTTTTCTTGCCTCTCTGTGCTGAAAGCTCAGTTTGTTTTTCACACGAGATGGGCAGACGTGTGTGAGCCGTCCGTGCACAGACTGCTCAGCACGTCCCTGTCCCGAACGCCAGCCCCTCGGTGGCTCCCACCTTGGCCCTTTGGCTCATAGTGCCACCATTCCCGCTCTCTCCCAGCATTCCTTGTTCCTGTCCTCCGTTCCCCTCACCTGGCTGCATTTTTAGTTTGCTCTTCTTTTTATTTCACTGGTCTTTTTGTCTCTTCCCCTGTGCAAGGCTCACTTGGAAATAATTAGAAGCTCCCGTCACACAGTTCACCTCTCCCCTTGGCTAGAGCTGCTCGTAGCTGGCTGCTGCCTTCACTCTGTTGTCTTCAGACACGGGAGTCCCCTTCCCATCTGGAATTGAACACAACCTTAATTTTGGGCTTCCCTCCGGGTGTTTGTATCGGCTGTTTCAGTTGTATGGGTTGATGCCCATGGACTTCAGCTTCGTGACTTTGAAATGAGTTGTGGGGAGTTTGGAGACTGTCATAAAGAGAGCAGCAGCTTCTGCTTCACAGTTTTTGGGTTCTTAAGGAGAGAATATTTGCATCCCCTACTCAAGCCTCCTGTTTGCCATTTGGCTTGCTTTCTTGTAGTTGAGGGGATTACTGTGCCTCGTACATTTTTGCCAGAATTTACTCTTGCTTGAGAAGGAGCAGAGCCAGCGCTCTACTGATTTCTGGCATTCATCTTTCTTCTTGCTCCTCTCAGGAACAAAAAATGCAGGAGAAGCTAGAATTTGAGCGGCGCCTGAACATGGGGCAAAGAGAACATGCTCTGCTTGTTCAGCAGATCAGCAGTCAGAAGGATGAGATACTGCAGACAGTGAGAGAGGTAGGTCTCCTCTGGGCAGGCCCCGTACAAGACGCTGCCGTTCCTAAACTGACCACTTTCTCCTTCGGTTCTGTCTTGCTTTGGCCTAGGACCAGATGAGGCTGGAGGAGGGTCTCACAAAGCACCAGCGCTATTTGGAGGAGGAGCGCCTGAAGCTGCTGCAGCAGTTGAAGCAAGCGGAGCAAGGCATTGCCAGCCGTATCCAGAAGCTGCTAGAGGACAACCAGAGGTAGGGTCCCAGGGTGTCTTGCAGTGGTCTCTGTCCCTCGGGCACTTGTGTTATTTTGTGCCATTCTCAGCAGTTCATTTTGCCCTTTCTGAGTCTTAAGGAACCGGTCAGGATCGGTGTCTGTAGGTGGTGCCTTAGCTGTTGAACTGCCAAAGTCCCGTTTAAAGGACGTGGAATCTGACACCTTAAAAAATGGTGTTTCACACATATGTGTGCTGTTGGAGTTTTGCAGTGCTGTGGAAAAAATTTGAATTCCTCATGGAAGGTGCATATTTGAAGTAGTTGAAGGTACCACTGCCTAGATCTGCTGGATCTCCTGCTGGGCTGGTGCTGACGCAAGGTTACCAGCCTGCTTAAAGCTACTCTTCTGTGCACAGGAAGCAAAGTTGTTTTCTGCCATCTGGGGGAGAAGGATGTCCTGCTCAGCTTGACGAAAACCTCTTGGTTTATCTTTTTTTAGGCAAAACCAAAGTTCAGACATTCTGAAATCCTTGGAGAATGAGAGGTGAGTCTCCTTCAAATAAGATGTCCTAGAAAAGGGGCAAAAAGCTGGGAAGAGGGCTGGGACCTCCCTTTCAGAGCCACCAGTCTGAATCCACCTTAAGTCAGGGGAGGTTCATCTCATACCTGCAGCTGGTTCTGGTCACTGTTGGAGGCAAGACACTGGACTAGATGTGCCTGGTCTTACCCAGTCTGGCAAACCCCGTGGGATGGTGATTTTACCTCTTTTTCATCTCTGAATGGTCCTAGCTAAGGAGTTTGGGAGCTGTATTCCACTATCAAGGACCAACAGAAATCTGACATCTGTTGGAAAGCAAGGCATTTGTGAAGATGGTCCAGTAACGTGTACAGGCTGGGCGGAATGTGTTGAAAGCAATGCTGCCATTCAGCCAACACTCTGAGCTAGCTTTGCCACCAAAAGTGGTTGTCCCCAGCTCTCCCCTGCCTATGTGCTGCCCCCTCCCTTCAGCCAACTGTTTGTGCTGTGGCACAGTAAAGTGGATGGGGACACTGACCTGGCTGAAAATAATCCCTTTGTATGTCAGGTAGTTTTCCAGCCTCACCAGTTCCTGATCTGTTAACTGGCGTTGTGTGTGCTTGTGCTGGGACGAGGACAGGGGAGGCGGGAATGGAGGCCAGGCTGCTGCTTTCAGCGGCACTGCTCACTGAGGTCAGCTTTAACGTGCTCGTCAAGCCTCGAGAGAAAGGAAAGCAAAAAAAGGGACTGGCACCGTGTTGGGTGAGAATGTGTGCACGTTGCACAGATGTTCTGTTTCTGAGAAAGATCAGCTTTCCGGCCTAAGAAGCAATTGTCCCCATGGTTTTGAGCAAAATTTATGTTGTCTCCCGTAGACTTAGAGGTTCCTTACGAGAAATCACTGAGACTTTTGTGTCTCTGATAAGCACATGGCTTTCCTGAGCAGGTGGCAGGGCGAATCTGCCCAGCCTTTAGGCTCTGAGCTGGGTGGGTGGAGGAGAAGCGAGAGAGTGCTTGTTTGAAAGAGTGGCTGAATTGTTCTTGTTTGTTCGGCAGAATAAGGATGGAGCAGCTGATGGCAATAACACAGGAGGAGACGGAGCATCTACGCAGAAGGGAAGTGGCCTGTAAGTCCAGACAACTCTTTGGGGTGGTAAGGTGCAAGAAAGGCCTGGTTCCTCTGGAGATGCACCGAATAGGTGACAGCCATGTGGGAGATGCTCTGTCGCACACACGTTCTTGCTGTGTTGCTTGGTGCAGCGGGGCAGAGCTGCAGGGGGTAGCATTGCATGTGTACCATAGCTGATCCACTGCTTCTACCTTCAGCTCACTGCCGGTCCTCCTTGAGGTGCAAGCTGCGCTCCCTGTGTAGCTACAGCATGTCACACAAGGAGTTTGTGGGACTGGATATAAGCACACAAAGTGCTTCATATTTCAGAGGTACCAAACAGATGGCAACTGATCAGGTTCGTGAGGCAGGAGGTGTATGGTGAACAAGAATGGTGCTAAGGAGCCTTTTCTGCTCATGATGACCACGAACAGATCTCCTGGCGTTGCGAGGGAAATGGGGTATGTGTTGTCACCCCAAGGATGGGTCACTCGCAGTGGGACAGGCAGAGCTGCAGCCCATCTGAGTGTCGGTAGGCAGGGACTGGGCTCCTCTGAGCACTGAAGAGATGCAAGCACAGGCAGAGCAGAGTTTGCTCAGCTAATTTCCCAATAAATAGATATGAGTCTTGCAGCTGAATGAGTTAGCTCTGAAATGAATGAAATAGAAAAAGCAAGGACAGGTTGGAAATGAGAGAGAAGGCACTGTTAATTGCCAGTGGTAGATGAGCGCCTGCTCTAGACGCCTGCTCCTGATGCGCACTGACAGCACTTCTGTCTCCTAGCTGCCATGCAACAGATGCTGGCCGAGAGCTACAAGAACAAGCTCATCCAAATGACCTACGAGTCTCGTCGGCAAGACCTTGTCAACCAGGCCTGCTCCAGGTACAGCGGGAGATGTCTGGGGCTGGTGGTACTGTTGTAAAGTCCCTTTCTTTCCAGCAGTCCCTGCTGTAATTCCCATATGTCCACCCGGGAACTCCTGCAGCCGCTGGAATGCAGCAGGACAGCTGTGGAAGAGCAGGTGACAATGCAATTTAAAGAAACTGTCAAACTTGATTAAATGAACCACCTTCTAACCACAAGAATATGCATGTTAATCATACTTTGGATGAACTATCGCTTTTTTACACTGTTTATTTTACTTTATACATTCTGCTAAATATGGAGGGTGAAATTAGACTGGTCGTCTTCGTGTTTTGTTAGCCAGTTCAGTGTCAAACTCTGGCACAGAACTCCTTTCCTCACCTCCCAGGGTTGTCTCAAGGATGCTGTTTGTATGTATGTAGGACTTGTTGCATTGCTATAGGTGCAGAGAGCATTCTGGCTTGCTCTGTTTACAAGAAGGTGAGAAATTTTAATCTGGCAATGTCTGGCACTGAACAGAAACAACTTTGTGTGCCTGTGACCTGCCCAACAGAGAGCAGACACGGTCCTGCCTGCAAGTGCACCCTTTCCAGTGCAGGATACCAATGTGCAAATTCATCACCTGAGCAGCTTGCTGGGGCAGCGGCAGCCCCTGTTTGGATTTCAAGCCGTGCACATGCCGGCAGCGGTGCTTCGGCGCTGGCTTGCTCTGTGGTGCAGGTTTCGTTTGGTTGTAGGGAAGGAGGTTTTAAACCTGCCAGCCTTCAGCTGTGCAGTGCCATGGCTCTTCACCCTTGTCCAGTAACAAATTTCTCCGTTCCTGGATTCCCTGTTGCCTGCTTTTCCTCTTGTTTGTGTCAAGAGTCTGAGACCCAACAGTAACTCCATGGAAAATCCATCTTCTTGCAGCCTAGCTGAGACGGATCAGAAGTTCCAGCAAATCCTGGCTTGGCAACAGCTGGATCAGAACAAAGCTGTCGGTCAGATCTTGCAGCAGGTAGGCGAGGGAGCAAACTGCTTGTTGGGGGGGATCAACTTTTGCAACTGCACAGGAAAGCAGGATCAAGAGGAGCACAGGAGCAACAGTGGCTGAGCTGGGCTGCATGCAGAATTTATTTTATTTAACATCATGTGCTAAGCTTTGAGAATCTCTGGTATTCGAACAAATTGACTTGGGTGGTTGAAAGAAAAATGTATTTATTTTTTAAGTAGACAGGAAATTTTTGGAAAAGACAGCACCACAGACCAGGGGAAGCAAAACTGGTTTGATGATTAATAGAGAGGATTTTGACACAGAAGTCCTGTCTTTTTGGCAGGTTTCCTGGGTGACTTGGGGCAAGCTGTCTACAGGAAGCATTTTCAAAGCCTCTGCTCCCTTTGAATACCTCATTTTGAACCTGAGACCTCTGCAGCTCATTTTTCAGAAGTGCTGGGCAGCCATGCCCTGCCGCACTGAGCCTGGTGCTCAGTGCTGCTGAAGATGAGACGTGGCGTTCATACAGAGCATTCAAAATCTGCCTTTGAAGAACATGACTATAACTTCTGTGTCTGTCTGTAAAGTGGGTTTTACCTTTTGGGACTGTGGGGTCTAAGTCATGGTGTAATCAGGACACGGTTGCCCAGAGTAAGCACTGTTCAGGTGCTTGCACGTGAGTCACTGCAAGGTAACAGGGCTTAGCCCATTTGCAGCTGCATCAACAACCTCACTAAGCAGGATTTTGCCTGTCCCTTAGATTGAGATGCAGAAAGCTGCCTTTGAAGCTCTCCAGGTGAAGAAGGATCTTATGCACAGGCAGATCAGGAACCAGGTGAGTCAGCCACAGAGGAAAGAGCAACCAGCTCCTCGGCTCATACCGCCATTTGATGAAACCCTTCTGAGGAAGATTAAAGCGCTGTGAGCACAGAGCAGGGTCTGGAGGAAATGAAGAGCTCTTGTATCGCTAAGAGCTCTGTAACAAAGCGTTTGGCAGTGTTGGCTGAACTACAGCCTCCCAGCTCCATAGGGGGAGTGACAATGCAGGTTTTAGATTCGTGGAAGTAGTGGGATTGCCATTGCTTCAATCATCTCAGCACTAAAGTGGATGAAGTGCTGGAGAGTGGTCACTAGAGGACAGACCTGCATTGGCTCGGTGGGGGTGATCTGCAATTGCAACTACGATTTCCTTCAGGGTGTGTACTTAGCAGGGCTGCTATTTGCACATGAGTCCACCGCATCTCCATCCAGCACATCGGAACTGCACCTTGAGCCATAAGTTCACCTTTTCTTTCCCATTCTCAGCCTGCCTTTCTGAGCTCCATTCTGCAGAAGGTGCAATGCGATAGTCGGGCGGAAGAGCAAGAGCTGGTGGAGAAAGTAGCGGTGGTTGATGCACGAAGATGGGAAAGTAGCAGTGGTTGAGGCACGAAGATGGGTGGCTGGTTTCTGACACAGTGCTCCAGAACCTTCCCTCCTGGTCTGACACTAGCGGAAAAGTCTCAGGCCAGGAGTTGGTGGATAAGCTTAAGAGCTTGGGTATATTGAGTCACTCAGTGACCAACCTCTGCTAGAAGCCTATGGATTGTGCATGGACAATCCAGGAGATGAGTCTGACAACTCTCCATTGCTTGAGTTCATCAATAAGAGCCCTGCAGTTTGCTCGCCCCTGCTCTGTTTGTTTCTTCATACCATGGCTGGACCTTTCGGTATTGAAGTCCAGCCCACCCCACCAGCATCCTGCACAGGCAGTGAATGGGCAGGAGCCACGGGTATTGCCTGCTGCAGAGCCCCGGTGTCGGCAGGAATTTCGTGGTCGGTGGCACACATTAAGCAGCGCGGCCTGGGGATGGTTGATGGCCTGGCAGATAGGTGAGCTGGGCTCTCATCTTGGCTTTGCTGTGGGATCTTGGGCAACTCACTTCACCTCTCTGTGTCTCAGTTGCCCCACCTGAAAGAGCACGTATCATTGTGGGATTTGCTGGAGCATCTGGAAACCAGGACCCTGCCCCAGTTAACCTGCAGTTTGAGTGGTGGTGCTAGGAGGACTTTGACAATTAGTTGCTGCCTTCCAGAGTGGCTGCAAAAGGTCTGGCTGAACAAACTGATTGCAACGTGCTTCTAGACTTGAACAGAAGGTGTTTAGAGTAGAGAGACAATTAGAGAGCTGGGGACACAGCTCCTCAGGCCAAAGACGAAGAGCAACCCTAAGAGCATCCATCACGGAAGGGCATTAGCAGGTTCCCCAAACTTCTGGGCGGCTCTGCAGGGCCGTCCCTCCCAGGGCAGCAGTTAGACCTCATTTTAAAAGAGCATAAATTAAAGTCATTTCAAATGTCAGTAAAAAATGTTTCATCTTCTGTTTAGATTAAATTAATAGAAACAGAGTTATTGCAGTTGACACAGCTGGAGTTAAAGAGGCAAGAACTGGACACAGAGACGCTGCAGGTATGTAGGGCCCTGGGGCTGCCCCACCACCCTCTCTCTGCTCTGGGATCGCAAAAGCTCCACTTGCTTCTTTTGCTCCTTGCAGTTCCCAGATGGTTTTATGCTTAGTCAGAAGGGTACTTACCCACAGGACACCACAAAACCCTCTTTGTCATGGTAACACGGGAACATTGCTGCTGCTCTGAAACATCTTGATGCATTTTTCAGGGGAGAGACAAACGAGCCGGCCCTGATAGCAATGGGCAGTTCCAGGTTTGCTGGGTGGGGAAGGACTTTGCGATCCAGTTGTTGGCTGTCCCAGAAACACCTGCTTGCTGCGCATCGCATGGCTTCCTACGTTGTGTTGTGTTTTGTTTTTCAATACCTGCCAGTGATGGCTGTCAGCTCTGCCCCTTCGTTTCTAAGCCTTGTCTCCCAGGCTGCTCTGCCCTGCCATCCCACCATTCGGTGTGCTGACTTCATCAGCAGTCACACATTGAGGAATATCAAGTTTGGCTTAAGCGGCTTGGCTTTAAATTTTGTTACTATGCCTTAGCATCCGTTGTTTTCTTGTGTGCGCTATTTGCCAGGTTAGGTCACCCGTTTAGTGAGCCCGAAATCAGTAGCAAACACCATATACTTGCCAAGAGTAGTGCACCCAGCAGGCTGGTAAGTGCTGACTTGACAGGATTGCCTCTGAGCCCTGGGCTGGACACCTTGACGTATAAGATTTGGGTTATGCTACCTTAACTCATGCGGCTCCTCCGTATAACGCTGCAGTGTTGGAGGCCTGATGGTGGGAGACCGCCCAAAGCTCATGCAGGGAAGACCAAGGAACCCCAGGCAGATGCAGTTCCAGTGACACAGGACTTGGATGATTCCTGTTAGCTGACCACAGGAGTTCCAGATGAGTGCAGAAAACGAGGCTCTGCCCCAGTGCCAATCTGCAGCCCAGCAGGCAGCACAGTACGTTTGCAACTTCGGCACCGGACACTAGGACACAAGGCCTAAACAGCTTCATCTCTCTGGGTACCCCCGGCCGTTTGGCAGTCGGCAGCCCAAAGGTTCCCGCTGTGATCGAAGCCCCAGTGCCCAGGCAGTGCCCACAAAGTGCTTTGGCAGAAGCTTTTCTGTAGTCACGCTCGATACCTCCCATGCAGCAGACAGTTCCTTCCTCCCCCGATAGGCAGGTGCTTTAGTAATGAACTTGATAAATCCTTGGAAAGCGGGAAGAACCAAAAGCGCCCTGAGAAGGGGAGGCGTTTGCACAGGTCTCTTGCAAGGTCAGTTTGGGAGAGAGCGATCCCAGCGGGGTGTCTGCAGTGCGGGTGGGCAGGAGAGCTCATCTCAAGGTTAGCTGAAGCTGCCTGGGTTTCTCGGCTGGAGCAGCTCCCACGTGTCGTTAGTTGTCCCTCTGACCGCTGTGGAGGTCCTGACGCAGAAGAGCTTTCCTGCCTCCATCAGGGCAAAGCATCTCTGATCAGCTAATGGTGGGGTAGGTGTTCCTGTCTCCTGCTTAACCAGAGGACCTTGTCCCTCTGTAGGGTCCAGGTGCCAGTCGATGAAGGTTTCCCCACAGTTCTTTAGGAGGTCAGCCCTTTAACAACATCTTGTCCCTTTGCACATGGACATCTGAAGTCCTTGCGGCTGATGACTACTGGCCTCTGCTCAGTTAATGATCCTCCCAGCAGGTATGAGCTGGGACTGAACCATGCAGAGATGCCACGTGGTCTGACGTTCCCGAGACAATTAACCTCTCCTCATTGCCCAGCGGTGTGGCTGCAGGGATGACTTGCCTTGCCCTGGTACCCGGTGGTGCTTGGTGGGAGACCCCAATGAAAGCAAGCTTCCCAAAGGCCTGGGGAGGTCACTGCCTTACCTGTCCTGCAGGCTTCCAGACCTAGTTTCAGGTGGTCTTTCTGTGTTAAGGAGGGGGACCATGAACGCTTGTAATGTCATTGACTGAACTTCTGAGGGAGCGATGAAGAGCTGCAGGCCAGCGCAGTCTGGGGCTGCCCGGGGTGTGCTGGGGGTTGGCACCAGCACGGGATCGAAAGAAATGGGTGCAGCTTGAGTTTGCCATGCCAGCTGCTAGGAGAGGATTCAGGCTGTCTGCTCAGCCGGGCCGAGGGCCCGTGGAGCACAGGGCTTCCACATCTGCTGTGACTGGTTTGGGTATGGTAAGTGCTTTGCTGGAAATCGGGGCAGGGTGATGGCTTGCAGCTATACGGTACGGAGATGTGGATGCCAGAGTCCTTCTGTTGCAGGGGGTGATCACAGAGCAACGCCAAGCACTCGGCTACCTGCTGCAGCAGCTTCTCAAAGAAAAGAAGCAAAGGGAAGAAGAACTGCGACAAATACTGGTAACGAAGGCCCCTAATTAGGTGCTGTAGATGAGGAAGTGCAGGGGCTGGCTGCAGGGAGAGGGTCCATGGGTCAGCAGGGGAATAAAGGGGAGCAGAGGAGGGCTCTGAGGGGTTGTGTCCAATCCAGAGACTGATTTAACTTCAAAAAGTGCTAATGCAAGCTCTCAGGGGCACAGTTAGCTCCGTGCCCTGGTGCAGCATGAGGCACCATCATCATCGTCAGTCTCCCCTGTCAGGAAAGGGCATTGTAGTGGGAGATGAGCACAATCCCACGAGGGGCCTGCATGTGGTCTTGTAATCCTGAAGACCTCCAGACTCTCCTGAGCTTCAGGAGACCAGGCTCCAGTGTCTGGGGCAAAGAGCGGAGGGGATGCACAACCTTAGACTGGCTGTGGGGGTCAAAGTGGGACCAGCCTGCAGAAAGGCCAGAAATGCCCATCTTCTTAGCATAGCTGTGCCCACCGCAGTGCTCTGAACGGGCCCTGCACAGCCCAGGCTGTTGGTTTCCCCTCCTACACGTCCAACTCAGGCTGCCCTAAATACTGCTCGCAACGTTATCTCGGGCTGTTGAATGAATGAGTTTGTTTTTCAGCTGGAAATGGAGGCAAAGAGTGAAACCAAACAGGAGAACTACTGGCTGATCCAGTACCAG